ACACAATTAAAATCTCCAGTGAGTATGTCACGACGACCGTCTAGAAAATACACGTCCAGGTCACGGAAAAAATTGTTAGATATCACTGCTGCAAATGGTCTATAAATACACAAAACACACAACTTGAAGGATGATAGGACGCAGTCAAAAGCCAATACCCGTCCAATCCCGTCATAGAAAATATGATGATTGGGTAGAAGAACGCGGTTAAAAATAATAATTCCAACTCCACAGAAGCGACATGTCGCGAAAGAAAAATAACAGTCTAAACTAAATGTGCGTTCGAATGCCCGAACGTGGCCAATGGTGAAAAAAATTGTTTCGTGTAAACACGGAATATCACAATGTTCTGCGCGGGCTATGCTGATAACCTCGGCTTGCTTTACTGGGTTACGGAACCCTTGAACGTTTAAAGAAATGATTTTAAGGGTGTCAGCCATATAAAATGAATGTGGGTGTCTGACCTGGCCGTCTTTTTCGATTCGGTACCACGGGGATCGGTTTAGGGGAACTAGAATACATACACTACAAAGCACAATTCGACCCTGTAGAAGAGGTTCGAGGTTTCTTCGGTTGCTGGGACTCGGAGCGGCTATCTTGGATGCCGTCCGAGCTGCTGCCAGACTTGTGAGCACGCTTGACCTCTCGCGGGGCGTGCGTTTTCACGCCACATTCGTCTAGGCTAGAGAAAGTCCGATGCTACTGTCTACTTCGAGGCTGAAGCTGCTGTCTGACGAATCAGATGGTGGTAGGGCTGCAGTGTTAACGTTGTCGCCACCTCCAACGACCTTGATCATGGATTGCTTGTCGAGACGCGTCAGTAAAAAACTCCCATGGCGTTTTGCTACTTGTTCAAGGAAGTCGCGAGCCTGGCTTTCGAAATGATCCAATGGGCTTTGCTCATTCGGTTTCGATTCTGTTGCTCGCAAGAAACCAGCGCCCGTAGATCTTGCAATATCGGCGTTTATTTAGCACTCAGCTGCTAGGTTTAACCATGAGTCTGGTGCCTCGGTGCCTACCAGCATTTCTTTCTCGGCTTGGGCCGACGTCGAACATGGCACGGCATGTTTGCCTAGGACAGACACGAGGTCAACCATGGTAGCTGTTCCTATCACTGAGATTGGCAAACGGGGCGGGCTCACCACACCGACAACAAACACGTTGGAGACTGCGGTAGTCGAAGGTGACTCGATGACTAAAAACGTGAAGATAGTTAGGGATGCAATTTGTGGGACTCATTTCCATCCGGACAAAGCGTGTGTCTGTGAGAACACCGCGTCTTGCGCTCATGAAGCCAGCGGTCACAGTCAATACTTTGCCGTATGGGGACAAAGCCTGGACGAGTACCTCGTTGGAGACGAAGGCTGGTAAAAATAGGCAGGCGACGTTACTTACCTGCGGGCCGAAAGAGCGACAGAAATACGCTCGCCACCGATGGTCAGGGAGCCAGCGTCGATGACGTGAATCATGAAAGTCATGCTCTCGACAGTTACTTGGAAGTTCATGCCTCCCATGTGCTGAACGCAGTGTACCTCTGAGAGGCCAACTATTAAGGCCTTCGCGTCGATGACGGTCTCCGGACTAGTCCACGCAGGGACGACAACATCGAATGCCTTCGCCTTCGAAGGCGTCCATGGCGTCCTAGATGAGGAGGACGTCCCTGATGAGGAACACGCAGGGACGTCAACAGCATCACTTTCTCTCACACTTTTTTAGGGGTGAAGCTCCTTATAGCGGCACCCGTTCATCGCTCGTATTAGTGCATAACATGTCTTACATTTTGACCTGCAAGGTGGTGCCGGTGGGAGATTTCTTCTGTGCGTTGTTGAACAATAAAGAAATTCGCAGCATGCGCCTCAGCTAAAAGCCGAATTCTCTTGTCTCTCATTCCCAATTAGCAGCCATTGGCATGTACATTGAGCACTGTCTGACAAGAAAGGATTGCTACGGTTTACTCGCTGGGCGTAACCTCCTTGTTTTTAGAAAGGTTTAGCGAGCATGGGGCTGCAGTGCCATAAATAAAGTGAACTAGTATATTCCATGAACTCAAGGTGATTAAAGGTGGGAAGTAGACACGAAGTGCAAGCCGTAAGAAAGTGTGCATGTGCCATTAGCAGCCATTGGCATGTACATTGAGCACTATCTAACAAGAAAGGGTTGCTACGTTATACTCGCTGGGCGTAACCTCCTTGGTTTTAGAAAGGTTTAGCGAGCGTTGGGCCACAGTACCATGAATACAGTGAACTAGTATATATCATGAACTCGAGGTGGTTAAAGGTGGGAAGTTGACACGAAGCGCAAGCCGTAAGAAAGTGTGCGTGTGCCACCTCTCGTTTAGTCCTTGGAATGTCCGCTGAGTGTCAGTGCTTCTATATAGGGAATATATGATGAAAATATGCGAGATGGTTGTTCTTGGAGTATTGAATATATGGACGAACGGACACACAGACAGATGCATGGACGGACGCACGGGTGCCTGCACAGACGGATGGACGCACGGGGAGATGCATAGACAAACACAGGGACGGACGCACAGATGGACGGATGGAAGCAAAAACGAATGGACGGACAGATGCTTCTCCCCACTCTCCATTATTCACCCCATGTCTATGCTGTAAATTTTTTCCGTAGCGCATCAAAAACAATATAGGTAGTATACAACAGGGTAGCCGCGCTGACACATTTTTTCAGTGCTAACCGTCGGCTCTTTTGCTCTTTTTATTTCTCTGTTGTAGTACCTCACTGCCACGGTCATAGGTGGGGGTGCCGCTCAAATAAAAACATAAGAAGTCGGAGCACACGCTACCGCGAGTGCTGTGGTGTCTAAATCATTGCCGTGTCGAGCTTCAGTGTTCAGCAGCAAACCAGATCTCTGACTCTTCAATTAGCTCGAAACCGGTCGGAGACTTACTCAGCCACGGAGTGCCAGCACTGTTCAGCAGCATTGTCTAGCGTGTTTTCCAAAGATGTGTTGCATTGAAGAAGGAGATGAACACGGGAGAACGCAAACACGGTACTTAGTTCTGCTTCTTTTGTCTTCCCGTCATTTGTCGCACTATTTTTTTTAGTTCAGCAATTTACTAAGCCACCCATTTTGAGAAAGTACTCCATTAAGAATCATTCACAGAACACAAAGCTCCATCTGCCGCTTGCAGCTATCCATAGACTATACGTTTAAACATTTCTCTTGAAAACCTGATCCGCACTACCTACGCCTTTGTGCTATGCCACTTAACTCATTCGGTGGCTATGCACAACTGGCTCGGGTAGAAGAGCAACAAGATGGGTGCCCTAATCACAAGCGTTTTCCAGCTTGTCCTTGGCGTTTTTGTTTAAACGCACAAGAAAAAAATTCCACAACTTGGTAATCCACAACATGTCCAAAAAAAACAAAAAACGCCCGAAGCCGAGGAGATCTCACAGTTTGTCAGATTTTCTGGCACTGTAACGGATACAGCTATCGGCGTGCGGGGACGGAACCGCACGGTCATTTGTCCTGGTGCTGTGAAGCAGCCGAACGAAGTAAGAACCAAGATTTTCATACAGTGGATACAGCGAGAAATTTATCCAGCCTACAATGAAGCATGAAGATGAGCCAAGGATAAAACTCTTCTCTTCAAGACCCGCTTGGACATGAAACGAGCTTCCTTCATAGATGCCGCTTCATACACATAAAAGAAGTCTCCTCTTCAGTGATCGTCGACTAAGCTTTCAAGGTCATCTGCTGCGCCACTATCCCCACTTTCAGCTCCAGCGTTTCAGAGCATGTTGTCATTGCTCTTGCACTGACCGATGGTGCACACGAGACTATTTATTCAGACCGCAAGGCCACTATCAAGGTATTTCAGATAGGCATGATGGCTATCGTTAAAAAGGCCATTAAAAAAGTCAAATACTTGTGAAATTCCTCATTGGTTTGGTTTCCCGCGCACCTTGGAAGCACTAATGATGCCTCCCTCAATCCGAAAGGGAAGGCACACTAGGCTGCACGAGGTTTGGCTGATTGTGTCCCGGATAACACGGCATCTCCTGAGTGACATGTGCCTCACTGCATGTGCAACCAGAAATGCAAGCACCAATATCTCTCGATAAGAGTGCTGAGCCTGCCACACTATTCGCTCTGCTGGGCTCGAGCATCTGTCACCCTCATCCTGCTACAAACAAGCGACTACCCGAGCCCTGCGGCACTACAACGGTTCTCGAGCACGGACTGCCCCTACGTAATAGTTATGCGAACTTCTTGGTTATCCTGTGGGGCGGCGCTTCTGCTTGTCTCTATTTCCACCAAGAGCAAATGGAGCACACATCATTAATGCTCACAACCTGACCTCTCAAATCCTGGCCGCCAAGAAGGCCAGCGCGAGGGCGGTAAGGTTTAACCTAACCGTGTCCGCGAGGGCCTAGCCAGATGATGTCGAGTTTATGTCTGTCTACTGTGGACCAAATAAAGTTGTTTCAATTCATCACTCGCTTCCAGATAACTTGCGTTACAACGTGCTCAATAAGGCATTGCGTCATCATGAACTAAAATAATGTCACCCTCAACAACAGTTCAACCTTCCATTTGTTCATCACCTTAGTAAATAGCAATAGAAAGTAAATTAAGTACAGTGATCTGTCCCCGATTTGAAGATGATGGTTCATTCTATCTACAGCTATTGTTCTTAGCATTGTCAATGTCAATCACTTGAAATACTCAAGTGCTTGATGCGAGCATAATGGATACCTAGGCAATAAGAGAAAATACTGAACACTGGCTTTATAAAACAGCCTGCGTTTTTGATGGCTCAAGCACAAGATCTGTTCAACTCGCCAAGTAGTTGGGCTCATATATGTGCGTTTAGAATACGAAAATGTGTGTACTGTGATGTGGCACTCAAAGGTAAATCAGGAAGAAAGAAATGAAATGATTGCGGAGATGATCTACTTTTTGTTTATTTTAGGCACAAGTGTATTTGTTTCATTGATGTACTATGATTGTTCACACTTCCAGTGATGGCTGCCAGAAAAGTGGCCTATACTGCGCATTGGCAGCAATCTGCGACCAGATCAAGGTGGAGCATGAGCTGGACGTTTTTCACATCGTCCGCAACGTGCGCCGCAGCCACCCTCAATTCATCATCAACTTGGTAAGGAAAGTCAGAAAGTCGATGAGATAGCAGTATTTAGAGAAGAAAGTTGGTCTAGTTGAATTTCCGAGTACTACTGTTTCTGTAGCGGAAAGAAAAATGCTAATCATTTAGGAAAAAAGAAGCACGCAGTAAAAAAAGCAGCCGATGTCGCCATAGGGGCTACAACTCATGCTATATATCATTTCGAAGAAAGAAAACTGAACTGTCCTGACCATTCTTCTTCTCTGCTACATATTAGTTTTTTCGTCCCGAGCTGCAAAGGAAATACTTTATAAGGAAAATGGAGAAAAGAGCAACTGGAAACAGAGAAATATTTTTCAACCATGACACACCAAATAAAGGCCGGGAAAGAGTGTTGAGAAGTGTTGTCTAAAGATACATGACTTGATCACTGTAGCCGCCAGCAACCGTAGGTTTCACATTTGTTTGGTCAGGCTTGAGCTAAATGCTTGGGCGGTGTTAAGCAAAGCTAAATATGCATTGATAATGAGGTTACAAGCTAAATAAATTGGCCAGAGTAGAGACGAGATATTACCACTCGAAAAAAAAATTAAGAACAAGAACAGGAACACAGAGAAGCGCTGACTTTCAATCAAAATTTTAGTTTGGAAAACACGATGGTACAATCACGTACGCACAAGCTACGCCTGCGTCACTACGAAAAGCCTAAATAGCTTTGTAGTAGCACACTTCTTCATGCGTGTCTACATGTATGTCGAAAAAACGGCCACAAGGGGAAGATGTAAGCTTTCGATTACAAAATACGTGAACAGAAGCTGTGTGCCTGAGGCCATGTTTAGAGAAGTAGATGGTTAAATTGGAAGCATTTCATTGGGCACTGCAAGCACTTTTGCAGTCTACAGATTCACACACACACACACACACACACACACACACACACACACACACACACACACACACACACACACACACACACACGCACGCACGCACGCACACACACACATACACACACAACCACACACACACACACACTCGCACACCCACTTATATATGTATATATATATATATATATATATATATATATATATATATATATATATATATATATATATATATATATATATATACATATATATATATGGGTAACTTATTAGAACGAATTGTAATGTAAATGTGACGAAAGAAAACTGAGTAAAAAGATAACAAAGGTCGCAGGTTCAGTTCCTGTCCATGGCAAGTTATTTTTTCACCCACTTTTCTTTCTTCATATTTACATTACAATTCGGCCTAATATCTTCCCCTATACTTTCCTTGGCTTTATTGGCTGGTATATCTCATTATATTGTGTCAAAATACGAAAAAACGAGCCCTTAAGTATACACTTCTTTCCCATATATATATATAGAGAGAGAGAGAGAGAAAGAGAGAGAGGGAGAGAGAGAGAGTGCGCCACACTTGCTGCCATCGCTACAGAAGATGGCGCTGGCTGACACTATTCACATATATACCCTACTAAGTGGCTGGAAGGATAGCCGCCGTGGTAGCTCAGTGGTAGAACATCGAACGCGTTATTTGAAGGCCGCAGGTTAGGTTTCTGCCAGTGGCAAGCTATCTGTTCACCCACTTTTCTTTCTTCACACTTACCTTAAAATTCGGCCTAATAACTTCTCCTATACTTTTCTTGGCATCGTTGTCTGTTAGATTTTATTTTTATTGTGTCAAAACACGAAAAAACAAGCCCTTAAGTATACACTCTTTCCCATATATTAATATATATATATATATATATATATATATATATATATATATATATATATATATATATTGTCAGCGATGTCTGAATGAATGTAGTCAAGGCAAGATTCAAATTATAAGAAAAACTGTATTGTGCAAAGTTACAGGTGAATCGGCAGTGGTTACATGTATAAGGAAACTGGACTCGGTGCAGGAGCTCGATCGGATACGTCCGACGCCGCTCGCGTCTCGGCTCGCTCTGCGGTGCGTTGCTCTGCGGTGCGTTGCTCTGCGGTGCGTTGCTCTGCGGTCCCGGCTCGAATCTCGGCTCGTTCTCCCTCTCTGGCGATGCGTTGCTATGCGGTCTCGCTCGAAGGCTCACTTTTTTGTTTTTTGAATGTTCGTTGAGCCAATGGGCAACCGCGTCGAGTGGACGCGCTCAGGGCTCGGAGTCCACGTTAACGCAGTGCAGCGTTTCCCGAGCAAGCACGGAGACGCTGCCGGAGAAGGAGGCGCTGCCGGAGAATGAAACGCTGCCGGAGAATTCAGCTGTGCGAACTCGAGTGCCGCTGACACGGCTCTCCCGAAAATTGCGCCTGTCCTCAGGCGTGCGTGTCGTTAGATTACGATGGTTCCGTAACTTCTAGGAGCGGCTCCTTATATCTACGAAGCTGCTCCACGTTGACGATTTTTTGGTTGATCGTGCCCGGTGTGTGGGGTACTCTTTGGATCTCGGCCCTGTTTCCTCCGACGAGGGCCGTTATCTCGAACGGACCTTCATAGCGAGGGTCTAATGTGCCTCGAGCGCTCAACTCAAGCAGGACGAGGTCCTCCGTTATGAACCTCGGAGTTCGCCGCTTCTTGTCGTATTGGACCGTTGTTTTGCGCTGACTCTGCAGTAGCCTCTCTCTTGTCTCCGCACGTGCCCTTGCCAAGTCGTGTAGTCTATGAGACTCGTCGATGTCTCCCTCGACTGAGGCTAGGTTGAGCTCTCCTGGCAGTTTTGGGTTGTAGCCGTGCATGAGTCGAAATGGGCTGTGGCCACTGTGACGATGCTTCGTGGCGTTGATTGCTAGCGTTGCTCGGGGTAGTTCCTTCTGCCATTTGTTCTTGTTGTTTAGCAATCTACGTAGAACCTGTTTCAATGTTCCTACCATTCGCTCGATCAGTTCGTTTGATTGTGGCCAGTACGGTGGGAAGTTCTGATGAGAAATTCCCAGTCTGCGATGGAATTGGTTGGTCTTCTTGTTCATGAATCCCTTGGCTTGGTCCGTAATAATGACGCTGGGAACTCCAAATCGCGGAATCCACCGGTTTGTCATGAAGTCAAGGTAGTGCGTCGACGAAGTGCTCGGTACGGTCACGGCGTCCATGTAACTCGTGGCGTGATCGATACACACGAGGATGTGGTCTCCGTTCTCGTTTAGCGGACCCATGTGATCCAGGGATATCACTGCGTTTGGCTCAGTAGGAATATCGCGTGGGATGAGGCAACCTTCATTCCGTGTCGTGCGGGCGTTGATAGTCTGGCACGTGTGGCAGGAGTCAACATACTCGCGTATGTCCTTTCTCATCGATGGCCACCAGTACTTTCGCTGGATCAGGTCTCTTGTCTTCTCGACGCCTAGGTGGCCGTTGTTGTCGTGGAAAACGATCATCACACTGCTTCGGAGGGCAGCGGGAACGTTCACCCTCCGACGGACCCGTTCTCCCTCGAGAGATTTCTTCACCAGTATGTCGTTTTCAATCTCGTAGTCTGAAGATTTGTGCTTGGCCTCCTCCCGAAATCCTTTGCAGTCAGTATCCCTCTCCTGAAACTCACGTAGGCGACTGTGTTTGCCGACCACTACTGCGTAGCAGTGGAGGTCTCGGGTCGAAACGCTCTGGTCGAAAGCCTCTGCGGATTACGACTGCCTCGAGAGTGCGTCAGCAGCGGAGTTCTGGCGTCCTGGCTTGTGCTTGACGTCGAAGGTGTACTCTGCTAAGTCGAGCGTCCATCTCGCAAATCTGCTGTTGCTGGCTACCTTCTGGACGAGGTATGACAAGCTGAAGTTATCCGTGTACACTGTAAAACGAGGGCCTTTTCTCAGGTAGACCGAAAACTTCTCAGTGATCGCCCAGTGGAGCGCCATGCACTCGAGCATATTAGAATGTAGACCACGATCGTGCTCGTTTAGTGATCTGCTTGCGTACTCTATGATTCGCTCCTTTCCGTCTTGAGTTTGAGAAAGCACCGCACCCAGCCCGGTTTGCGAAGCGTCGACGTGAACGTTAGTCAGGCAGTCTGGGCGGAAGCTCGCCAAAATCGGCGGGTTCTTCAAGGCGTGTTTTATGGCGTTGACGGTTGCTTCATGAGCGTCAGTCCATACGAAAGGAACGTCCTTCGCCAGAAGGTGCCGTAGCTTGTGCGTGACCTTTGCAAACTCCGGTATGAACTTTCGGTAGTGGTTAGCGAACTGCAGGGAGGAGTACAGCTTCTTTGCGTTGCGATGCGGCTCGAACTTATCGACAGCGGCAACTCTGTATTCGTCCAGTGCTCGTCCTTCGGCGGAGATCACGTAACCCAGGAAAGATACTTTGTCTTGAATCAAGTGGCATTTCCGGAGATCCATCTTCAAGCCGTTGATCACGACTCTCCTGAGTGCTTCGTTCAGCAAATCCAAAGCCTCCCTCTCTGTTGTGGCTCCCTGCCCGACATCGTCCATGTACGTAGCTGTCCTAGGTAAGCCATCGAACGTGCGACGCATGACTCTTTGCATGGTGTGAGGGGCCTTGCAAAACCCAAAGGCCATTCGAAGGTATTCGTACTTTCGGTCAGGAGTGACGAATGCGGTCTTGTGTACGTCGTCCGACTTCATTCGTATAGTCAGAAATGCCATCTTCACGTCCAACACAGTGAAGTAAGCCGATCCGTCGCGCATTACATCGTCAATAACGTCTTCCATGACGGGCATTGGATAAGAAGGGTTGATGGTTTTCTCGTTGAGCTTGCGATAGTCGTGTACCATTCTTCGTGGAGTCGTCGGGTGGTGCAGTTGGTCGACGACTATCGTTGGAGCACCGTACTCGCTTTCGCTCGGCCTTATGATGCCCTTGGAGAGGTAGTCATTCACCTGTTCTCGGATGAACTTGCGATCAGCCGGTGAGCACCTGTACGGCCTCGATGACACTGGTATATTGTCTCTGAATTCGATGCTGTGCTCGGTGTGAGGACACACGCCCAAAGTGTCGTCTTTGGAAGTGAACGCTTGGTGATGCCTTCACAGAATTGCGCGAAGTTGTTCCCTCTCTGCCTCGGTGGCATCCTTCGTTATCTTCCGTGTGGCGTCTTCGACTAGACTCGTGAAGTCTTCGTCGGGTGCGGGACATTTCGTGTTGAGGCGCACTTACCCTTCGTCTTCGGAAACACTCTCGTCCGATTGCCGGCAGAACGTCGCAATAAGCGTTTCCCCGGTGCGGTGTGGTGTGCCTTGTTTCGGGGGTGGCACTTCGGACGATGAAAATTTTCCGGAGGGCTTGACTGGAACGATAGTCACATCGTTTGACGTGTGAAACGTTACGTCGACGTTCGCGACTCGTCGCCAGTCTGATCCAAGAATCAGGTCGATGCCGCTGGGCAGTTCCGTTACCACGACGTCTTCGAGTCGCACATTCGTGGTGCCCAATGTCACATCAAGCGTTGCAGCGAGAGTTGGGCATATGCTGCGGTTGAGAACTTCAATGTTCTCGCGCGATACCCATGCGTGCGTGGGAATGTCGTCCGTCAAGGCATTGGCACTCATGATGGATAAAAGTTGGCGCCACTGTCAATGCACACGCGGACGGGTCGGTTGTTAGCAGTACCGGACACTATTGGTTAATGTGCCGCCCGTCGAATGCAAAAAACAGTTCGCTTGCCTAGGTGACGTAGTCCCTGTTTCGTGGCTGCTATTGTCCCTCTTTGCTCGTTTCTCGTCCGCTCTGATCGTTGCTGGCGTTTTCGGCTTTCTGCAATCACGGGACAGGTGACCGATGTCGCCGCAGTTGAAGCACGAACGAGCAGAGATGGGCCGCGGGTGTGGAGTTCCCGAGAAATCGCTGCGCGGGTTGGCCTTCGGCAAGTTGGCAGAGCTGCTGGCTGGCACCCGCTGGTTCGAACCCTGACCACGGCTTGCTGTAGACGATGACGGTTTCTTGTCGTTCTCGGCACACACGGTCGTGCGACGCCTCGCGTCGAGCAAAGCCGCTCTGTCAATGAGTTCGGTTACTGTGCCACACAGCTGCGCTGCGAGTGGGTTGGCCCATGTGTCGTCCTCGATGCCGCTGAGAATGAGGGAAATACGTTCTTCCTCTGCTAAACGGTACGGCGCCTTGTTCAGAATGGCGTTTTTTGAGTACATGTACTCGACGATAGTCTCGTGGCTCTGAAGGCGTCGCTTCGTCTGCAGTTCGAGGAACTCCTGCATTGTCAGCTTTCGTTTGAATCGAAGAAGGAGCGCTTCCTTCCATTGCTCCCAGGTGTCATACTGTGAGCCGTAGGCGCTGTGCCAATCCTTGGCAGATCCCGTCAAGCGGCTTGCTGCTTTCACCAACGTCAGCGATGGCGTCCAGTGGGCGAGCGCTGCGATTCTCTCCACTTGCGTAATCCAATCGTGAGTACTTTGTTGCGGCGTCCCATCGAACAAGGGGATTGAGGATGACGTGTCGCTTGTGGAATAAATCTGGATCAGGCTCGTCGTCGGTGGACCTCTCGACAGCGTGTTCGCGAGCAGGGCTTGTGTGTTCACGAGCGCGGCGAGAATCTGGGCCATGGAAGGTTCTCCGTCGTGCATTGAAACGGTCGGCGCGGCGGAGCGTGCCGCGTCTTGGTTGGTGCCGTCGTTCAGTGACGGTGGCCGCGTCGAACCCGAGGACATCGTTATGTCAGCAGGGACGGAATGGTGCAGCCCGAGGGTTGGAGTCGTCACCCGTTCCGTTGGCAGTGAAGCGTTCTGATGGGCTTCATGCAATGTCTCACGTTCACTCGTGGTCGCACGGTTAAGCTGGGCTCGCAGGCTGCTCAGTTCAGCGCTAAGCCTCGCGTTGTCGATGGACAGTGTCTCCAGATGCGCCTGCCTGTCGTCGTCGTAGGCAGCCTGGTCCTTCGTTGACGAGTCCGTCGGCTCTAGGGCTTGGCGAGTGATGTTGTTGCGGATGATTCTTGCGATGAGCTCGTTCTTTCGTCCGGTGCACCGTAGACCACGTGGTCTCAGCTCGTCGACAAGTTGCTTTTTCGTTGCATTGGCCATCGTGCTGTGGTCGAGGGTCGTGAACACGCTTTCGACGATGGTTGTTTCGGGGTCCCGAGACGATGTACGGCGTGGCGTCGCTCCTTCTCATGGCGTCGTTTCCTCCTCCGCATGCAGCTCGGTCGATCCACATCCTGTCGGCTGCGCCATGTCAGCGATGTCCGAATGAATGTAGTCAAGGCAAGATTCAAATTCTAAGAAAAACTGTATTGTGCTAAGTTACAGGTGAATCGGCAGTGGTTACATGTATAAGGAAACTGGACTCGGTGCAGGAGCTCGATCGGATACGTCCGACGCCACTCGCATCTCGGCTCGCTCTGCGGTGCGTTGCTCTGCGGTCCCGGCTCGAATCTCGGCTCGTTCTCCCTCTCTGGCGATGCATTGCTATGTGGTCTCGCTCGAAGACTCACTTTTTTGTTTTTTGAATGTTCGTTGAGCCAATGGGCAACCGCGTCGAGTGGACGCGCTCAGGGCTCGGAGTCCACGTTAACGCAGTGCAGCGTTTCCCGAGCAAGCACGGAGGCGCTGCCGGAGAATTCAGCTGTGCGAACTCGAGTGCCCGCTGACAATATATATATATATATATATATATATATATATATATATATATATATATGAGATATAACAGACAGTAATGCCAAGGAATGTACAGGGGAAGTTATTAACATTAATGGAATGTAAATAAGAAGAAAGAAAAGTGGATGAAAAAAAGGTCGTAGGTTCGATTCCTGCTTACAGTTGGTAATTTTTTCATCCACTTTTCTTTCTTCTTATTTACATTCCATTAATGTTAATAACTTCCCCTGTACATTCCTTGGCATTACTGTCTGTTATATCTCATTATTATTGTGTTAAAACACGGAAAAACGAGCCCTTAGGTATACACTTCTTTCCCTTATATATATATATATATATATATATATATATATATGGGAAAGAAGTGTATACTTAAGGGCTTGTTTTTTCACACACACACAATATATATATATATATATATATGCAGGCATGGTGGTGAGTAGCTGTGGCATTGCAAGTAGCTCCTTCGACGTTTTATCCATAGTCAGAGTCTGGCCCTCATCATTCCTGATGAAGCCCAGACTCTGCCTGAAACGTCGAAATAAAACCACGTTGTGATATATTATATATATATATATATATATATATATATATATAGAGAGAGAGAGAGAGAGAGAGAGGGAGAGAGAGAGAAATCTGCTCAAGTCTGGGCGCTCCCGTGATCACCCCCTTAGCTTGGCGTGAACCACTACTAGTATGGGAGGGCAATATGGTTTCTACGTGCTGGTGAAGACGTGAATAATGCCACAATCCCATCTCGTTTGTCGTCAAAGACTTTCCACCAGACAGTGGCTCATACTCACAGGTGAGTGTGTACCACTGGTATGCAGGTATGTGCCACAGGTAACTGATAATTAGTATCTACCCAGAAAGGGCGAGAACACACATCATCATTTTAACGTGTGAGAGTTGAGAAAAGCTGACATAGGCAGCGTTTAAACTGACGAATGCAAAGAATAAATGACAGAGTCCCGGCAGCAATGAAATGCCAGCATTCTGCGTGACAAAGAGCTATTCTACCACAGAGCCACGGGAGGTCTCGAAACTGCTTTTTTCAAATATACCCAAAAGTTCGTGAAACTTCCATTGTGGTTTTAATGCTAGCTTTCCAGTTTTTTGAACATTACATATGTGAACAGCCATCACATCAGGGAAACACCACTTATATACTAAGGGGCTATCTGCTGAAGTTGATTTCTGTAGCAGTGTCCAGGGCTGCCACCCTCGCGAGCAACAGCACTTCATATCAGCTTATCGCTTCTGGTGTTGCTAATACTCATGTTTCTGTTCGCATTGTTGCGCAAGTGCAAACAACTGTTTATATATAAGCATCTTCGACTGTTCACCATGTATGTTCATGCGATATTTGTACATATACTTAGCATTATTTCATAACGTGTCGCTAAATAATGGAATCGCAACACCGTCACTTCCTTTCTTTCTGCAACTATGCATAACGTCCATTCCCAAGGAACGTGGAATCTGCCAAATTTTTTTTTGCAAGAAGGTTTTAGCCCGAACGAAGTGACTGTTCGCGAAATAACGTTCGGCCTAAACGACTCCTGCATTAAAAGACAATCTTCATTCGCGCATGAAAGCAGGCATCTGAATAAGGCTGGCTCCGGTGACGAGAAGACCCCATCTTTGTCTAGAGTACCATTTTTCTCACAAATTAATGTGCAAATCTTAGAGGTCATTCAATAGACGCATTTGTGAAGTTATTGTCACGCGTTGCGCCATATATTTCCCACAGTCTTTTGCACGCAAAGATCAACGTGGAGGTGGTGACTTGGACAATATCAACTCTGAATATCAACAATGAAATACCTCCTATTTGTTATCTTGTCACGTACTTCTGTAAAAAATATGAAAGTTAGATGCACTCGTCTACTCTCTCATCATTGAATATTGAGCAGCATCGAAGTTTGCTAGGAAGCAGATAACGCCAACATGCTGGCGGCAGTGACGTTTGACACCTAATGGTACAGCAGATGCAACATCATCTGAAACTACATCTTCAGCTCGCATTCACAGGTTGGCAAATGTGTTAGCATGTTTGTGAGGTGTTGCAAGTAAGATTAAATTTTCTATATTTCAGATAAATATAGAGCTCATAAAACTGCTCCTCTTTTTGTTTACAGGAGCAATATGCGTTTTGCTACGACCTGGCTCTCAGCTTCGTCAACACGTTCGACTCCTACTGCAACTTCCAGTAAAAAAGGAAAGCGTTTCACGGGATGCTAGTTGTCATTTTCTACGTCTTAATGGCCAGGCAAAGGCTATTTTTGCCTGCTGACAGTGATTCAGCAGAATAAAAACGTGTATTTAAAATAAGATTGCCTACTTCCTCTCTTTGTGCCACACCCTCGTTTGTTTATAAAAAAACAGCTTCTTCTCATTGAAAGTGCGTGGTACAAATGACTGCGCGGAAGCATCAGATCTGTACGATGGAATGCCAACCGAGCGAGGGTCTCTTTCTGGCAGACTATGCATTGAGGTGGTATGCGAGAGAATGACATTCAGCTGCCATCTCGCAATACTTTCGCCTATACTACGTGACGCCATGCAGACAAAAAGATTGGACCACACTTGCCGTCAGAGCAACAGGTGGTGCTCAGTGATATGGAGGATATCTCTGCGTGCGCAGGTTGAAGAGCTTCGGAAAGCTCTTCTGTATGCACGCTCAGAGGCAGCAGATCAAAACTTAGCCCAGGACAGCGCTGCAGCAGAGGAGAAGGTGAGACGGGTATCTGGATGCGCAACCACAGGCGACAACATAGAATGCCAACCTAAGAGTAGCCTGAGCTCAGGCAAGAGAGACAAGGTGTCAGAAAGTCATCAGAATGCGGGGACAGAAGGTCCGTAAACAGGACAAGCATGGAAAGTTGCCTTAAGCAAAAAAGGCGAGAAGAAGAAAGCACAACAGATACAAGAATTGACAACACCAGGAGGCTCCCCAGCTGCCACTCCACATGCGCAAGAACACCTCAAGGACATGACGGGTGTCAAGAGGAAAGAGCGGCATGCATTCATCTATGAAGATGAGAATGCCGCCAGGATGAAACACACAGTCCTCCGCACGAAAAAATGGAACAAGCTGGTTCACTACCGGGTCAGTGATGGCGCCTATATCCAGGAAATCAGCGCTCAAGTGTATTCTGCAGCAGATATTTGGAACATACCTGAAGCTAAGGTTATCCTAGACGCAGGTCGCACCAACCTGCAGAAAGATGAGGTGCCAGAGGAGGTGGTCCAAACCCTAAAGGCCAACATACTGGCCTGGAAGACGAGAGGTAGTGGCCACTTCTTTGTTATATACGGGACGCCAGAAACCCTACAAGGACGAGCAAGAGATGTGGCATGGCGTAAAGTCTGGAATCAACCTCTCAATGAACTGGGAACAATCAATGAACTGGGAACAAGAGTAGAGCGTGTTATTCCAGGGGGAAGGAGACCTGAAGGTGATCCACAGCAACCCTATAGACCACAGGAAGCTGGTAGTCGTCTAGGCCGCAGACTTTGCTCTTCTTCAGGACACCGAGCAGAAGCCCTGAGTGGGGCGAAGCTGACAAGCAACCCTATTACCCCTATAATGCCAGTAATAAAGAAGGCACTGCTTCAGATGGCAAGAAAGCAGCAACCCCCATGGCACAAAGTACGCTCACTAGACTCAAGCCAGTGAGAGAACATGCAGGAGGCAGACGCCACATCGCACGAGAGTAACTTCCATAAAAGTAGGCTTCCTAAACATACATGGAGCAAGAAAGCTGAGCAGGTGAAAGAAGCTCTACAGGATGTTGGATTCTGAAGCCATAGAGCTTTACGCGATTGCATAGACGCATCTTCACGAGCTAGAGGAGCCACCAGTTAATTCACAGTGGCAGTGGGCCGGTAACAACCGTGAAGAAGAAGCGCGCAAAGGTGGTGGAATAGGCTTCCTGTTGTGGAATGAACAAATGTGGAAAAAACTAAAGTGCCAGTGTAGTGAACACGTATGTGGATCCACGGAACAATCTTAGGGGTTCCTACAATAGCGTGTGTACTCTATCTCATGGTCACGAGTGGACAACGCGACGGTAACGTCTGAACTATGCAGTGCATCAGTGAGGGCATCCAGCGGTGGGGGACTGGGAGTGACGTGCTGATTCTAGGAGACTTCAATGGCCACATCCAAGAAATTGATGGATTCCTAGACCTCAATGGCGACCTCAGGCAGCAGTGTAAAAGAAGGCACAACCTAGAGGTGGCCAACCTCCGGCCATATTGCGAAGAAGAATTTAAATGGTGTGCCAGAAACAGTCGCACATGTATTGACTATGTACTTATCTTATCTCGATTGGCATGTCAGGTCAACCACTTCAACATTGATGAGGGGCGGGGAGAGACACTTCAGCATTGGAAGTGACCACAACAGGATCAGCCTAACAATCTGCTCTTCCGCGTGGTTTAAAAAAAAGCAAGAAAGCCGGAAGCCTGCGCAACGATTTCTGCCTGAAGCAGCCTACGAAGACATTGCCCAGGAATTTGAGAACAGCCTACAGACCTCTAAACCTCTCAAGTATGAAAAGTTTGTGGAGGAATTGTGACACTTAATGCGGAAGCACGAAGTTCACTCCAATTCACGAGGAGAGGTGCGACAAAAAGGATGGTGAAATCAAGAAGTCTGTAAAGCCTTGGACGAGCGCAAAGAGGCAAACTGTTGGCACAGCAAAGCAGTGAAAACCCTTTTCGCAAGTGACGTTCTCCAAGCATTGCAGGGATACCTAGACTGCAAACAGGCTATGCAGAAAATAGTTCAAAGCAAAATCGCCGAACACAACAGCCGACAATTCCAATCTTTCACAAAGACGAACGCAATGGGGCCATAAAGTTTTGGACCTACGTGTCGTCTCTTAGTGCGAAAGCCAAAGTACGCCAAATTCGGCTTGAGTATACAGGACTGCCAGTATCGGACATGGACAAGCACCTAGCTGACCACATGTGTAAACTGTACGATATCATCAATGGCAATCCAGAGATCAAAATAACCGATGATAAACCCATCAACGAATACTGCCTAGCAAAAGGGTGAAATAGGAAGTGACCCATTCAGCCTTGGACAGAGCGATTAAACGCATAGGAGCACACACCACCCGAGCTAGGGCTGGACGGCATACCTGCGGGGCTCCTTAAATGCTTAGGAGAAGAGGCCAGGCAGAAGCTGACAGATATCTTCTCAGGCATCATGGTAGGAGAACCAATACCAGAGGATTGGCGACGTGGCCGAGTTATCCTGGTGGCGAAGAGAGGAGGAGATGCAGTATTGCTACGTGAGTACAGACCACTCACGGTTATCATCGTGCTATACTGAACTTTCGCACAAATCTTATAGACGTGGATGGGCGGCTGAGCAGAACACGACAACATGTTAACGGAGCTGCAGAATAGTTTCCGCAGCAGACGGCGCCTCGAGGACAATGTGTTTGTGCTCACCCAGACTATCGAGATAGCACGAAAGGAGAACAGAGGACTGTACACTTGTTTTCTCGACGCTGCGAAGGCATATGATAGCGTACCGCATGGACTTTTGTTTCACTGCATGACGCAGATTGGCATGCCGAAGACATAGATTGGCATGCGACGGCTGTACATGGACAATACGGTGGTGGCGTGTTTTGCCGAAACTCAAGCCGAACCAGTGACGGTGAAGCGGTTTTTCAAACAGGGATGTCCATTCATAGTTATAGTCCATTGTTGCCGCTGCTGTATATGCTGTATACAGCCAGCCTCGAGAGGGCACTGCTGACGGATGGAGGTGTTTCGTTTCGGGCTGTCACAATGGATGGACGTGTTTTTTTGAGCGCTTCAGATTGACTGCGCAGATAAGTGTTTTTGCATGGTTTGAGCTTGTCTTTATAATTATAAGGCAGCAGTTGAAATCTTCGTAGCCCTTGTTTTATGGTACGGCTTTTTTGGGGGCCAGTCACCAGGTATTTATTAGTGCGGGTGTGTGTGCGTTTGAATTTTTTGTTGTTTTTTCCACCCCGTGGGGAAGGTGCGCGTACAATGAACACGCAAATTTTTGTAGTAGAGCTCAGACTTTCTTTTTTTGTAGTGCAGGGCTCGAGTTTAGTAATTATCGAGTATAGGGGATATTGGTGTCAGAAAGACATGGTTAAAAAGACTGTAAAGTGTTCAGGATAAGGAGTGGGTTTGAAAGTGGACACAAGTGTAGAAGTGGATGGAGAAGATGCTGACGCGAAGTGTAGGCAATGTGAGGTCGAGAAAAAAATAAAGAAAATGCTGGTTGCCCAGAGTGAACTGCTGATGAGAATCGCCGAGCTCGAGACTGCGTTGGCGACAGAGCAAGAGAAAACGGGGGCACTGGAAGAAAGACTGAAGTCCGCCGAGGAAGCACTAGCGAAGCTGAACAAAGAAGCGGCCTACGGAGAAAACAGTAGGGACGCGGCAACCAGAACGGGGGAGAAAGAGCAAGCAAGTTTGGAAAAAACAGGTTCAGCCGGTTCAATTGTCGCAAGGCCCAGCTTCAGCGAGGTAGTTTTGGGGTTGGGAGGGGACAAAGCAGGCAGTGTTGGATGGGTCTTCGTATGAGGCCCGAGAAGCCAGAGCAGAAGATAGAAGCCAGGAGCAAGAGACGAGGGCTGCCTGCGTATCATGGATGACAACAGGTGGGCAAGGCGCTTGTTCCGATACACCAGCTTGACTGGAATAACGACACAGTGGACTGCGCGGGTGTACACCCTGCGCCGAAAGTTTGGTTTCTTCGCGAAACCCGTCAAGGCAAGCACAGAGAGCGGATGGGCCCGTGCCGTCCAAGAACAGGTACGGGAGGAAGAGAACGAGCAGTGGCAGAGGGCGATGCGTTCCAAGGAAACCTTGACGGTATATCGAAGTTGCAAAAATGAAATAGAAAAGGAGCGCATGTATGACAACAATGGCGCTGGTGGCCTTCTGTTCGCAGCACGGGCTGGGGAACTACGGACCCTTGTGTACCGTCGCCGATTCGACGAGGATACCGATGACACAAGTGCGATGTGCCGGGTGTGCGGGCAGGAAGAAGAAACCATCCCCCCATATAGTGCTATGCTCGTGGCCTCCGCGATCGGCTGCCGGCGGCGCGCCGTTGCTCCGACCGTCCCAATCGCCCGGAGTGAGCGTAAGTTGAAAAGGGTGCGTGGCCGCGTTTTTCGCCGCACCACGGCGCGCGTAGCCTAAGGTCGCTTTCTCTGGCTTTCCCTGGCGCGGGCGGGCGCAGAGGACGAAAACTCAGCCTTCGCAGCCTGTGTGAGACGTTTAATAAAAAAATTACAACCGCTCATCAATGCAGTAAAATA